TATTTCAATATTTCACTCGCTGAAGGAGCTTGTATTAGAACTTGGTATTCACAAAGGTGAACCAGAAATAATTTTTTTTTCCACCACCAACAAGTATAATATTACCTAAAACAGATACAGAATACAGATGCACATATACGAAGCCGTTTTCGTGACGCTCCAGTACCAAGTAGACACAAACTACCAGGTTTATCATATGAAATCGTATATATATATATATATATATATATATACTTATATATAAGTACCTTTATCGTATATCATACTGTGACGGTCAAATTGGTGAGAGGGGGGGGGGGGGGAATAGGCTCCTCTGATGACCTTTTTTCAATATTTATAATTATAATAACTTAAATATATGTATAATGTATAAAACAGTAACCATAAGTGATATATTTAATGATCAAAAAGTAAGTTCAGTACATCCCTTCTAGCCCACACATGACAATATCATTTGACCAACACTGTTTTAGCATTCTGTACAGTTTATAAACAATACACAAACACGACTATTTTAATATAGATATTGTAATTCACACACAGTTAAATAAATTATTGTAATGCATAATCTTAGGTAGTATTCCGAATTACTAGAATATTTTTGTAAAATATTTTATTCTAATAAAAACATTATTTTTATTCATATTAGTTGTGGTTCTTGTTTTTCTGACTATTTGTACAATACATTTTAAATCGAGTATTCAAGTATCAACAACTTAAATTTATACTTTATTTAGAATTATTAAATTATATATGTTGACTCTAATTTAACATTTTCCCGAAGAAAAGTACAATTGGTTTAATATTTAGGTAAGACACAAACTAAAAAGTATTTTTACCCAAGTCTGGACTAATGCAATATAAAACTTACAGGTATTCAGACTTCACTAATTTTTCCAATAAGTACCTACCTCTATCAACATGCTATACAAAATAAGTTTTTCATTTTAATTTTAAATTATTTAAGTCAGTATTACGTAATATGTTATTTAGTCAGTATTAGGTCAGGCCAAAAGATGGTCTGACTAGCTAGTTTCACTTATATCAAGTGGCGTTATTTCAGAGTTTTGGGTGGAATGAAAAACATTTTCCAATAGCCAACAACATTATTATTAAACATTAAACAAGTACACAACATTTCTTATATATAAATTACATATGTACATAGTACCTACATAATGCAAAAATATTATTAACATTTTATTCAATTTAAAATTATTTAGCATAAGGATATTTAGAAGATAATTCAAGATACCAATAGTGAGTAGTGAATATTAAATAAGTAGGTAGGTACTTAAAATCGATATAGGTAACTAGGAAACTTAAAATTTTAAAAAATGATCTCTTACACCGTTAAAAATGTCTAAATCCCAAACTATCAAAAATCAATGTGTATAATCACACGTGTAAGATAAGCGTCTATCATCAATTCCAATGAAAAATCTGTATAATTTAAAGAGTAGGTATATAATATTATCATCTATTCCGCAAAGTTTTTCGACCGGTGATATACGTGGAAAAGTATGAGGATGTAGGTACGCAAATAAAAACGTAATATGTAACGAATAAGTGAAATTGTATTACCCATTATTCAACTTTTTTATAATATTTATCTTCTATCTTATATGTCAACGTATGAACAATTGACATTTGGGGTTACTTAAAGAAGCGATGAGAGGTCAAGGGGTACGTGAATGAAAAAAGATTGAGAAACACAGAATTCTATGGGATGCAAATGCATATTGCATAGATATGCCCTTGCATCCAGCAAATGATGCCCTTAATAACGGTATAATTTATTAATCTACAAAAAACACAAGTAATATGATTTATAACCTTAAAAAATAAAATGTATAGTTAATTATTGGTCCCCATTTATTATTATTTGTATTTAATTAGGTAATTATCATGAATCAAGTATTTATTTTTATTTTTATTAAGCCTCGGCAACTATGGCAATTGGCAACAAAGAGTTCAACTCTAAATTGTTTACATGATATATGTTACATATTAAATATTATTGATAAGATTGGATTTAAAAATAAAGGTTATAATGTGTTTTATACTTTTATGTAGTCTGGGTGGAGGGCTTCTGACATGCAGAATGTTTGAGATGCCTGCTTCTCGTCAATCCGTTTAGTATGAAAGGCATTCAGTTAATTTCGAAGTTCTTATTACCTTCTTAATGTTAAATTTAATAACTTTACCTAGGTACTGGGAGGGAGACTATGAAAGCTTTATTTTTCTATCTACCGCCTTTATTTTAAATCAAACATTACAATAATATTGGCCTACATCAAAATGGATAATTTACCAACACAATATCTGTAATAGGAACCTGCCACCTAAACATTTACTTCATACAAATCTCACTTTTTCAATTTTTATTATTATTAAAATATGTTAATGCATTTGTGTTTACACGAACAATGTTTATGTGGCTAATTTGCATTATTTTTTAAAATAACCGAATTTTGAATATTATAGGTAAGAACGTATAATATGTGTACATAATTATAGGTGATGTAGGTAGTTAAGTACGCACAACGCACGATATTATAGATATGTATACTAAACGTATAATATACGTAGGTAGGTCAAATAAGAGAAAAACACTATATTTTTACACCATTAACGACAAGTGGCCCGTCTTTTATTTAATTGAGTCTATATTGAGTTAGGCTGATTAAGTGGTGGCGTAAATATGTAGAATACATTATTGTAATTACAGGAAAAATTAAACAAATTGCGCACTGATAATATAATATTATACCTAATACAGTAAGGTAGTCAGTTATAACTGAACGTATAGATATATGCACAATTATTCACACAACTTATAAAAGGCTGCGGAATGCGCAGTTGCAATGTATACATTCATTACAAGATCTACAAATTTCAATTTAATTTATCCGCATATTAATAAATAATACTTAGGTTTATGTACATAACTATTACTTAATATTTGTTAAAGAGAATATAATATAGTTGATATATTTAAATTAGTCGGCTTACCTCAACGAGTTAAACAGCCGTACTGCACTTCTGCAGGAGGAATTGCAAAAGGATACTACATAGCGATAGTACATAATATACTATAGGAAGGTATTCTGATAAAATTCAAACGTTCTAAGTTTAGTTCAAGTTTGTATAATAATGCATCAAAACTTTTGATTAACTATAGCTGACATCTGGAAATAATAAAAACAATTATTTGATTTCCCGGAGATAAGAAAACATGATAGAAACCTAACTTTCAAAAACCTTAGGAGTAAGGTCAACCAAAGAAGGGTGAGTCCACAGTATTGTAACACAATTCGTTCTGTTATTTCTATAATATAAAATAAATGCCCAATATATTTTTGTAATTATAATAGTTATCTGGTAAAATGTGTAAGTCAATAATGTCTTTGATTATTCACTCATTAACTTTTAAATAATACGTGATGTTACCGATAGTGAAGGAAAATGTTAATACTTAATAAAAATTAAATACTATTATTGTAGTATTTAACGTATAATTAAACAATAAGTACCTATCTATACTCTGCCCAGCGAGAAAACACGCAAATTCTCACGCGACACATTACCATCTAGACCAGTTCCACTGTCTGAGGCAGGATGTCACATGGGGATGTTCAAACAAACCACGATACAGAGAAGATATCTTCTCTACACCCTGAAAAGAACCAATTTTCTCCAGGTGTATTCTCACTTAACTGATTATAGATTAGAAATGAGAATCAATTATGGTTGGGCATTTGGGGGAGGTCAAATTTCTGATAAAAAAAACACATATAGCATAATTTAAAGTCAGTCAGTTTAATTGGTCAGGCGGGTTACCCTGATTAGACATAACATTTTTCGTGTTTCACAAAAAATAATAACCACAACAATATGTCAATATTCGATGATCAGCAGCGTGCTGTCGTTTTCTACGCGCGTCGTGAAAACATCAGAAATCTCGCGACATAAAAACAAAAATCGTCTTTTTGGCGGCCTCTAAACGAATCAACGCGTTTGGCAACTGTTTGTCATCCGCTTAATCGTTATTTTAATATTGTCGTCGTCGTCGTGTCGTATTTTTGGCAGAGGTTTGCCGCCATCGACACGTCACACTCGAAAAGATGTCTGTGTGGTGTCGAAAACCAAATGGAGTTCAAGTTCAGTGGTTTGCCAATGAGGGGTTTTTTTTTTGCTCTTCCCTACAACTCACCGTCAACGCATATAATTTTTTTTCAACACAAAATATTAAATAATACGGGGTTTTCCGGGTTTTCGAGTTGTACATTTCACCCAGTGATCCAGAACCGCTTCAGTTGTTTGGACGGGTGAGGGCAGAGGGGTGCGCCTTATCCACACAAAGGAAGTAGAACGCTGCCCGCCTCACAGCAATGCCTTGCGCGGAGTTATTACGTCATCGACTTAATAATATCATAGTCGTGTTACGCAATAATAAAGTATTGATTGGATAGTATTTTTTATATAACGCTCATATTTTTCGTCAGACAATCGGAAGAATTTATTATTTGACACGATGTAGGATTCTCGTATTCCACGTGACTGCTATAACATTTTGAGCATTGTATGGAGAAGGGTGGATGTTAGGAGAGAGAACACTTAAGGTAACTGCCACGTGAGTTAAGACGAACATAATATCTAGTAATATTTACTAGCTGTGTACGACCTAGCGTGTGCAAGGAGTGTATGAAAGAGCAACCCTACTTTCAATAATCAATTTACACAATCCATTCAAGTATTTCTATGTATATATATATATATATATATATATTTGTTTATATTTTGGAAACAAATTGCTACACATTCGCAAAAATACTTAAAATTCAAAAAAAAATCCAATGCACAATAATAGTTGGGGGGAAATGTATGCGCATCGATAATTTATTATAATAAGTTATTATATTGTAAAAGTATAATCAAAATTGAATTAGCTAATATTTATTATATAATCATAACTGGTAGTCTTTTTGGTATGTTAGTTAACGCAATTGCACTTCCAAAGTATGATTATAGACAGGATCATCTACTCCGTCATTTTTAGAACTAATCATAAGTTTAAAGTTCATATTATTATGTGATTGAAAGCACTTTTATAATATATTTCGTACTTAATGGAAATAAACAAAATAGTATCAAAGTATAAAATGAGTTTAGTTGTATATTGATATCAATTTGATTTGAATATTATTTTTTAGAAGACATTGGTTATGAGAAATGCATTATTTGACAGTAAATGGTCTTATTTTATAACAACAAAAAAATGTATTATTATTATTATTATTATAGTAAGTTACTTTAATAACATATTACTAAACTCCATATTATTTAGGATGTAAAGCAAAAGTTGAAGAAATTTTCGGGAAAAGCAAATTAAATTTATTTACGTTTAACAATTTGATTAAATTTTTCTTTAAACACGCTAATTATTTTGCACTACACTAGATGTAAGGTTATCAGATCTTTTATCGCAACAGCAGTACATATTCAATTGTTAGTGTTCATGGGTTTCTCTAAGTGTTTTTGGTGATTATTATGTTTGTGCTATGCATAAAATTGATTATTAGTTTAAGTTTGGTTTGACCGAAATAAGGGGGATGTGTTCATTGGATGCAACAAGTAGACTTATGTCCATTCTTCATCTTCAGTTTAGATTTCGGACGGTACTTTTCTAGAAATGCCAGTTGTTTAGAATTTATAGCTCCTCTTCGTTTCCTAAAGAAATGTTATACCTTAAAAATCAGCACATTGACAGGTAATATTTTGGTTAGTTATGTACGCACTCTCTGATTAACTGAACGGCATCTTCATACTTCAACCCAAGTTCTATCAATGCCAGAGCGACTAAGACAGGCGCACGACCCAAACCAGCTACACAATGCACAGCAACACAGCTGCCCTCGTCTGTACGGAACTGATTTCGTAATAATTCAAACCACTCTTCTATCAACTAACCAACAAAACAAAGTAAAATGGAAAATGCATCATTTTTTTAAGTGTGCAAAATAATATTTAATTAAATTTATTACAGTCCTTACCTCATTTGCAGGGGATGTACCATCGTCGTATGCCAAGTCGGTCACCACAATACCTTCTGCTTTCAATTCATCTATTTTGTATGTTGGTTCGCAAACACGCACAACATGTTTAACGTTATGCCTCTTTAATTCCTAAAATTACAAAAATGTAGTTTAATTTATTTTAATACAACTTAAGCTTACATTAAAAGTATTTGTATTACTTACAGCTACATAATTGTGAATTATCTGATCATTAGGTCTATCGGTGATTAGAAATCGCATGCCCTTATATTCAATCTCGCAGGGTGGTGGTCTTATGTCTTTTTGACGCATTATAGTTTCGTTGCTCATTGAGCCGATTTATAATATATAACAGGAAAATTAAATTATATAAGGATGTACTACTGTTAAGATGATTTCTGTGTCCAAACTGAAAACTGAAGACAAAAACAGTCAAGTCTTTAGTCCATTAATTAACAGCAGCGTTTTTGTTCTTATGACCAACAAATTATACTAAATTATCGAGGAAAACGATTCAACAATAAGGATAGATTAGGATCAATGCTTGTTCAACGAGCAAGCATAATATTCAAATAAAATGATTTAGTATGCATTCACATCCAATTTATTGTGTTGTGCCTGGCAATATTCACTGCTGTCTAACGACAAATCCATGAAACCAAAGGCTGCTACAGATTTAACAACCTGTAAACAAAATGTATTGACCAGATAAGAATGATAAATAGTTTTTGTGTTGACAAGCGCTTATCTTAGGCTATTATTGATAAACATCATGACTCAGAGATTAAACTAGGTATAATTATTCTTCATAGGATATTTTTCTTTTAATAAATTATTTACAAATTGTGTAGATACCTAAAATTATATTATTATTTCTCTATGTGGAGACATTATTATGCTTGATATGGTTTGTAACAATCAATTAGATGCATTGAACATGCCAGCATCAGACCAAAAACATTTCATTAAGTGGATCACAACTATTAAATGCAATATTTAACTAGTCTATCCGCTCAAATGTCCTCTCACTAAGTGCCTAGTTAAAACCACTAACCTTTTTTTATTATTAGTCCTAAGCACTTACTCTGAACAAACTATATTACATACAATTACGGCTGGATAAATTTAACAATCATAAGATTCAGTAAATATTGCATAATAAGCAAGTTGTAAAAAAATAATAATTAAGGCAACTGAAAAATATATTATCTTGTTTGTTCATAAGTCATAACTAATATTATTTTAATACTAAATCACTTTGCACATCAAATATAAACATTACAATTTATGATATTTTAATAATTTATGATTGGGTACTTTAATTGTGTATGAAAATCACATAGACAGTTTAAACAATCTTATTTACCCCTCACAAAACATTTGATGAGAAAATACTTTTATTTAAAATTATTCAAATTTAATAGTCATAAAATGACTGTTAAATAAATAATTAAGTAATATATAGCTGAAAACTTTAAACGTCACCTACTATTTTTTTTTTTTAAACTATTTAACTGCTAACCTGTACTATTGTTTATTGTTATTTACGCATCTTTATTTTTATGTGAATATTTAATCACAAAAATAACCTTTGGCCTTTGGGTAAACATTTTTTTTTTATATAAAATATATATTTCCTTTTTGTCATAAGTACAAATTGTTAACTGATCAAAAAAATCTATTACCTATTTAAGAATTAACTAAACCCATAATTTAATGGAATAAAAATAAATCTGAAAGCAATCTTTAAATTGTTATTAAGTAGGTACTTTTTGGATTCGATTACATAATCAACTTAAGATCAAGGTTTAAAAATAACCATAATTTAGTTTTAAAATGAGTTGTTGTTTTCAGTTTGTTATGACACACAATTTAAAATGCCTATGGCTTCCTCAGTATTATGGCAACAAAATCATTATGACGTAAAGGGCATCATTATAATTCATAAACAATTTACAAAATGTATTAAAATAAATATTAGAGACTAGAGTAACTACTCAATACCAATTCAATTTTTTTTAAATATCATGCAAAATGGTTTTTTATAACTCACTTAGCCCTAAAATTAAGCTATTAATGTCAATATATATTCCTAACTAGATAACAATTGATAAGTACTTCATTTTGGGAGTAAAAATACAATTGGTACTGAGTATTTTCTAACTAATCTTACTGAGCTTAAAAACCAATTCAAATCTATTTCTAAATACATTTTAGACAACAAATAAAAAAATATAAGTGTATTATAATAATTACGATTAACTATAGTATTTAAGGCTCTATTATTATTATAGTATTAGTATTATAAGATTATAATTTTTCTATAAGTCAATAAAAAGGAATGTGGATTTTTGATGAATGTTAATTGTTAAAAGAAACCTGACTGATTTAAATGTACCTACAATATTTATAAGATAGGTATACACAAATGTGATTTAAGAAATATATGTATAAAATTAATTGTAATACTTCAGATTTCACTTCAAAAACATCAGACAACTAAAACCTCAGTGTTAGACCTACATGATTATACAACCTACTTTTACTAGTTAGGTACTCTCTATTTTTATTATAACATATCTAGGTAAGAAAGTCAATTACTACATCATTATCTTTTTCACTTTTTGCTATTTATTTAAATTAGCTGTATGCTTTTAAACCTATGTGACACTTACCAATACCTTATCAACAGGAACTACATTATTATTTGTGTTAAATTTACAAAGTATCTACTTATTAATTTATCAATATAATAATAGAGTTCAGAATGAATCAGGTTTCTATTTCCATAGTACCTATCACTATAAGTGCAGAAAAATCTTTCATGTAAATATACCTAGTTTCTAAACTTATTTTACAAAAACTATTTCGATTTATTGGTAGGTGTCTTAGAATGACTAACAACATAAAGGTAAAACATATTTTTTGTTAACTATTTTTCTGTTAACTTGGTAATCTCTCATAACTGGTATGCCTATTTTGTTAAATTAATTTGTATTGTCCTAGACAGATGATTGATTTACTATATTACATTATTATACATGAACTAAGAAATCATGAAAAATCAAGAAAAACTGGGAAAGTCCTTATGAAACAACCCATGACTAAATTGTTAGAAAAATTAACAATTTCTCATAAATTGACACTGGACATTACAGAGAAAACAATGAGCAATTGTCAGAAGAATATGCTATCAGTGGAATTCGAGATTGGACACAGCCTCATGTCGGTCACGTATGATACGACAACCATAACAAATAGGTATAACAATTGCAGGGTATATATTATATACTTGCCAACAAAATTATGGACTATGGTATACGGTAAAATACAATGTCAGTTGATCGGACGTCGGTGTACGTGGAATGGCCCCTAGGAAAATTCAAAATTGAACGACGATAATATTGTACTTAATATTATATTATTGTTGCGATAAGACTATGATTGTAGAAGATTGTGTGCTGGCAGCAATCGCCACCAAGACTGAGACAGCAAGACGTGGTCGACGGCCGCCACAATAGTTGCAGGCCACTTCGATCCTTATTACTCCCTCCCCTCCCCGACAACAAAAATCATGCCACAACGGTCGTCGTCATCCGACCGCCCCTCAAGATCGTCGACAGCCGTGCGTACCTCTATTTATGGCTAAACGCCATTGCGATCGTGACACGCGTAAAACAACCGACCCGACGGAGATCGCGGATGATTCCTGTCGCCCGTGCAAACATCGTGTACTCGTGGAGTCCGTCCGTCTGCCTACCTATCTACCTGAAATAACGATCGTAGCCTGTGCTGCGGACGACCTATACGTCGTGTCGATATTATTTTAATATTTTATAATTTCAAAGCGATCTAGACGATTCGCGCGGAATTCGTGAGCTAGCCGAAAGCTGTGCGCACTTACCTGCAGTGCTCGATGAATGACCATGGAAGTAGACGTCGTTAAATCAACGGAAAAACTGCCAAAAACTGTACACATACCAGTACGAACGAATTTCCCGTTACCAGCCCGGGGTTTTAAATAACATCGCCAAACGAACGGAGTCGACTTCGGGAGTGATGACTGCCGCTGCAGTGCTGCTACGGCTGCGAGGCGGCGGCGGCGGCGGCGGCGGAGTCGACCAGCCCGTTACCGCGACGAGTGGGGACGATGACGGAGTTTACTGGTGGGCGAGGTCGGGAGGGGTGTGCGTGTCGGTTGTTGGCGGCGCTCCCCCACCTAACGATTTTACGGTCTCCACGGCCGCCGTCGTGCCGCGCTTTGCTGCCGCCTGCCGCCGTCACCGTTGCTGACGTCATGACCCAGCAACTCGGCAGTCAGCGCACGGTTTAACGTGCGGGAAATGGGAATGGGAAATGCGAATGGTAATGATTCGTTTTTTGACGGGCGGTGACGATAATTTAAGACTATAATAATTGTTTGACCCCATCAGAATTTCATTTGTTTAGTAAAAAAAAAAAACACGAACCGTCGGTCTTTTACACTGCCTGCTGTAACGTCTGCAAAACGAACAAAATCGTACTACGTAAGTGGGGGGAAATTGACTGTTTCAAACGAATGAACGACGCAAACCAATATTGTCGTTACAATATACTAGAGTACTAACTACTAGACAGTAGTGCACTAGTACTGTGTACTACAGTAGTGAGTTGACTTTTAAACATTACAAATTTGAAATTGCAATACAATATTTGTTCTCCAGTGCCGCCAACAGAGGACGTAGCCGTCGGTGACGGAAATGGATTGACGTCGTCTACACGTCCTTGGTAGGCAACTATTAGTCAAGGGTTGCTGACCCTGACGAATTAATAGTCTCTGGACGATCCGTCAAAAATAACTCTCCATTCAACCACCCACCGATCGACCCACTTGAACGCCGACCACGGGGTCGTCGACAGTGAGGCCCTCGATCTTGCTCATTACTCGTTAGTCGTTAGTCAACCGACGTGACCTATACACTACATAGCGGAACAGTAGGTCCTTGGTCGTGACTCGTGAACTGGTGTGCACAATAACGATACTAATATAATATTATGATATCGTTTGTATACATACGACGTCATATCTATACACTGAACTCATCAGCTGTTGATCTGTATGTCTGTATGTGTTACGTATAGGTATACAATAATATATTAATATGTACAGTGTACACTGCTTACATAACAGTACCTAGTTAGATGACCTATATAATATAGTAATATATTATAATTTATAATGTAATAGTCGATAATGGGACTAGTGGCTTATTTACGGGGGCGGTATGGGATGGATCCTCCTAACCTTTTTTATATTATTTCCTTGGTGAATATTTTTGTAATGCAGAGAAAACACGATTCCACCGTAGTAATGGGCGGTATTTTGTCGACGAATGTCAAATTAAAATATAATTCATGGCTGTTACTCAAACTATCAGTACGTGTTGATTTTGATTCTTATAAAATATAAACATAAGATATTCTAAATGGGTAAATGACTAAGTATATTCACTTTATCAAGTGTATAAATATCATATTAATATGTATGCACTATACGTATAATATAAGTTCTCCTTTTTCACATTGCTTTACATCTTATATGGTCTCGTTCTTCGCGGTTTTGTTATCCAAGCAACTTTCATGGGTGCTAGGAGCTGGAACTTTAACCTTTGAGGGAAATGAGGGATTACTTATTATTACTATACTTATATGAAAGCAAATGCTGAAAAATTACAATTCGCAAAAAGAGGACCTACATATGTTATTTTCAAATAAACTTGTCATGGTCGGGAAGGGGTTGTCACGTACGTGTTTCAACTTTAATTAATATTTAAGCTTTTGATATGAGCTTGGGTTTACAGTTGTGAACAATGTGGGATGGAACGCACATGAAGTCAAAGTTCATGCCATATTATGGTGAATTTAGCACTCGACAAGCTCGATAAACTTAAGGGTACTCTAAGTCTATAGCTGTATATCAATAATATATAATAAAGTAAAAATTTGTAAATTCCAGTCATACTTAATCATCAAAGATAATAAATTTCGTTCAATCAAAAAAATATTTAACTTTAAGGTAACGGGTTAAATACTTATAAATAATAATTTATTTTGGCAATATATTTTGTATTTTTAAATTATAATGTTATGAAGTTATCATAACCACAACCTTAACTTTTAAATCAATAATCATCGTTGAGGATTGTTGAGGTGGAGCCCCCTCAGGGTCAGTGCTAGCTCTGGGCTTCTGGATAAATTATTTAGCGTTTCTATAAAATAATAAAAATTAGTTTGTGGATAGCCGCTTACCAAAGTTGCAATCTAAAGTACCTACAGAATGGTGAATAGGCACTAATGTACTATAGATTATCATCTATACCTACTGACTACAAAAAAGCCTGTAGAATTAAAAAATATTAGTGAATAACTTTTGATTGAACTGATTGAAGTCTAAATTTAGGTTTGGAATATTTAGTAGGTATTTACTTTGTAGTCTGTAGATATCTGATATATAATATTATGTTAATATAAATGTTGATATTGATATTCAAAGAGCTATTGATTTATGAAACTACAGTTTTGTTGAAGTGAAAATTGATAAAAACGCGCATCATTGACCATTTGACCATATTGTATCAAGTAACAGGCCACAAACATATACCTTTGATCTATATTCAATTATTCTATACAGACAGGATAAACTAAAAATATTATGAAACGGATACCTACTACAATATTATGAAAATAGAGGTTATAAAATATAAAACTATAAATAATTTTTATAAGTGATTTCGAGTTATAATAAGATCAAATATTTTATATTCTTGGCGATTACATTAATTTAAGTGGATACGAGTTTATATTATATATAGACAGATTGAATATAAATGTATATATAGGTAGCTAGGTAGGAACAATAAATTAGTAAATAAATCATATGCTCAATGCTCAAATAATAATTAATAAATAATTTAAATTGAATATTTTATGGTAGGTACTCGATACTGGTATCAGTATTCTGCGTACTCTGTAGTCTTTTTGATTTGGATATTTTTACATTGAATTTTTGACCTAGAATCGTAACCGGTAGCCAAAAATAATTTTGTACAATAACGTTGTATTTCCCCACCGCCCGCAGTCCGCACCATAATATAATACCTACGACCTACCGGGTACCGGCTACCACACGAGCTGTACGCGACATCGGGTGTACTCACGTGTCAGTGTGTCACGTATCCGTGACTGCTACCCTTCAAGTGTGGTTACTCTGTTAGGGTATTTTCAGTATAGTTTTGGGTTTAATTATTGAAAACAATGAAAATGGAACAATATTATTCTATCCATTTCCGAAGAAATACAGCGAAACCATTCTGCTACAGTGCTACATAACAAAATAGCAATAGCCAAAATGTATTCTAATGACTCCTACCTATAAAAAATGATTATACGTCTATCAAGCGGGCTTCGCATTCAATTCTGGATATAGCTTTCTAGCAACAATATTACAATTGTTACGTTTATTATGGAAATTTCTCATTATGAATTCTCAGAAAATTCAAACGATTTATAGAAATGAACAATTGACTATAAAAATATGAACACTTTATAACCAAAAATAGGTAGGTAGGTAGGTTGTAGGTACTACTGTACTAGCATTGTTTATTTACATAGTAAAGGTATGTATAAATAGTATAATGAATGATCAATGGAATACTAGATATATATGGTGTATCATATGGAGTTCTGACATAATATTGAATATCATGTGGACATATGGGCCATATGTTAGAACTTCTTGATACCATAGACATAATAGATCATAATAGATATTATGTCTATGCTTGATACACCCTATATAATATATATATATATATATATTATTTATACGCATAACCATTATTTCTTACTCGTGATTCAGTCCTTAACAGCTAACTTAAACTTAATTATATTATACATCATAATACATAATTATATGTAATTATTACTGTTATATTTTAAGCTTTTTTTTATAGAGGTAGAAACATTTGTCGGGAATCTTCTAATACAATGTGTAATGTTAATTATGAAAAGAAAAACTTTTATGAATTATTAACTGAAAAATAATTTTCAAAATCTAAAAATCTTTGTGGCTAATATTTCTTATGGCTATTAATAGCACAAAAGAGTCAAAATAGTTTGAACATTTTACCATGCATTAAAAATGTTAATTTGATGAAGATTTCAAGAGTCTACGGTTGTTCGTTTTGGAAATACAACAAAATATCAAAAGTCGATAATGGGAATTCGTTAATTAACAGCTGAATATCAAATATTGAATAAATTATAAATTCAAAAGCACGTAAAAAATTTATGTTCCGTTTAGTAAACTATTTTTTTTTTTTGTTAAATGAATAGAAAAAGTGGTATGGAAACCTTGTATTAAACATTTTAATTTTAGCTATGAAAATAAAAAACTTATGAATTTCAAACAGAAAAATAATACTCTC